ATCTCAGTCGAGCAAACAGCACTTGTTATAAGGCAATAGTCACTGGTTTAAGTTTATATATATATATAAATCTTGTCAGAATGACTAGTACATTCACCAGCTCTTGTATTATTATTATTGTATGTTGAACTCCCTTATTTTTTAATGTTTATAATATATATTCCTCTTTGTGTTCTTGCATGCCAGCTCTGGTTTTACTTATTTCCTTTTGGGTGTAAGCTGGACGATATAGCGGGCAAATAGTTTTTTGATTGTATTTGTGGAGAGAAATTCATGTTCATTCATGTATTTTAAAAACAATTTTGGCTTAATTTTTCATTGATAATGGGTTTTTTTCCTCCCGTTTGATCCTGTCAGAGACTGTGGTTTTTGTAACTGAACTTGTCTTAAACACATTAATCCAATTATAAGGAGTTTTAAAAAAATTCTGAAACTTGTGTTCGGTTTGAAGTATTCTGGTTAGTTTTGTAATAATCTGAATTACAAAACTACAAAACGCACATGGACTGCTGATTTATCAAACAACGTAGCTTTAGAATTTTGTTACCATGTGATTTTAATAAATGAGCAACATATTTTCCTGATTGAAAAGTACAATTACTGTACATGCTTATATGTATTTGTAATTCAAGCCCGTCACAGATACATGGTATTTTTTCTGATGCTGCACTTAGTGTAATAAACCAAAGAGTTGAAGAAAACATCTATTTTAGTACCATTATACAGTATGCAATTGTATTTTTTTCCCCAGTATATTTCAATAATTGACCAAATAAATCTTTTCAAACTGTTAAGAAGCGTCATTGAAATAATTGCGGAGTAAATGCAATATCAAATTCCAGGGTTGCTTGTTAAACACTCGTTCAATTTTATTGATGCTGTAGAATTTCCAGGGATTCGTTTTCATGTCATTCAGTATTTTAAATCCATTCATTTTTAAAAACAAAATGTGCCACTCTAATAAACCACACTTCAAGCATTTGCATTTAAAATGCTAAATCTCGTGACTTTATAATCCAGGAAGTTTCAAAATTGGTTACACAACCCTGGTTCCTAATGAAGTACACACATTTCCGAGATTCAGTTGAACTCTTTCTGAAGCTCAATTGCACACGTTACATTTTTTATAAGCAACATATAGTAATGAACGCTTAGCACCAAGTTGTGTCTTAATATTCCAACATGATTGTAAGAATCAGTGGGAGACAATTTGAAAGCTTTTAAACCCAGACCATGAATCTTGTGATTATAAAGACTGGGCTTAGGGTCAATATCCAACTCATCAGACTTTCAAAAGAGACACACAAAGCCATTTCCGCCACATTACAGGACCCTCTCTCAGCTAGCATTGCATAGTTTGAATAAGCGGTCTATATTTGTGTATGCAAAGGCATAATGCGATGCTTCCATAGTCAAAGTACCAGTTAAGAGGCTTTCACACATATTGGCCATTACGAGCTGTTAAAGGGATAGTTCACTTTGAAATTAATTTTTGATATGTTTTAGCTTACCTCAAGGGCATCCAAGATGTAGGTGTCTTTGTTTCCACAGTAGTTTCAATTTTGACATTTTTCAGTCAAACCGTTCGTGTCCATCAGTCATATAATGGAGGTCTATGGTCACCACCTCAAAGAGCATGCACAGAGAAGTCCAAATTAAACATGATTTAATGACTCGTAAATGTAAGTACACTTTGATGGCCTAAGACACGAAACGAGCGGTTTGTGTGAGAAAACGAACAGTATTTATATCGTCTTTACCTCGTGTAATCACAGACACAGTCACGTCCAGCAGACTGAATCAGTTGTGCAATGTCCAACTAAACCGAACTGAATCATGTTCAACATTCCGCCGGAAGTGATCGCTTGCGTGTACGTCACTCAATATTTGGATGGAGATTTCGCAAGTTTTACTAAACATATTTAGATATACCAAGATATACCGAAATCGTCTTCCATTGCGAGTTCCTGTATATCTAAATATGTTTAGTGAAAGGTAAAACTTCCGAAATCTCTGTATAAACAAAGAGTGACGTAGGCGCGCAAGCGATCACTTCCGGCGCATGCGCAGACCGAAGCGCCCGTGCCGTCATATGAGTTTGAAATGGCTGTGATTACACGAGGTAAAAACGATATAAATACTGTTCGTTTTCTCACACAAACCGCTCGTTTCGTGTCTTAGGCCGTCAGTGTGTACTTACATTTACGAGTCATTCAATCATGTTTAATTTGGACTTCTCTGTGCATGCCCTTTGAGGTGAACCCAGTGTATGATAGATAAACAACAACGGTTTGACCGAGAAATATCAAAATTTAAAATACTGTGGAAACAAAGACACCTACATCTTGGATGCCCTTGAGGTAACGTTAACGTTAAGCTAAAACATATCAAAAATTAATTTCAAAGTGAACTCTCCCATTAACTGCCACGGTGTTTATCAGTAGGCACTGTGTTAAGCTTAAGATATTCACAATCATGCTTCCTGTGCATAGTGAGTACAGACAGTTATTGGCTTGATGGAATCTGCTGCAAAGTCCAGACAGTTCAATCAGAGCAATGGCCTCCTAATGTCCAACCACAATTACAATCTACACGACGGAAATTACTTTGAGGATGTGAGGCTAACAACACATTCGATCAGTGTGTTACAATGTCACAACAAAACAATGTTTTCAAGCAGAAAACAAGCCCATTTACATTCCCATGGGAAAAAGTGTGTCATTCAGAAATGGTTCTAATGCTGTTACACAGCCTCGACGCAGACGTTCATTTGATAACTACTATGAGCACCGGAATGCCTGTGAAACAAGATACATGAAATCACTATAAATGACCCCTTCTTATATACAGCACAATCTTAACAAGCAGACTCATTATCGACCACACACACACTTATTTTTATCTATAAGAACTATAATACAATGAAAGAGCACCAACAGTCATGAAGAACGATGTCTATATATACAGCAATGAAATGAATACTGATTTTTTTTTTTTTTTTGAAGGATTAACTATTTTATTATGCTCACATCATTCTGGGTTTACTAGAATATAGATTTGTCTTTCACCTCAACCACATACTGTATAGCTAAGCTTATTTCATCAAACGTCAACAGAACAATAAATAATCCAGTGGTTTTCCCTTTATCTGGTGTATTTAAATACACTGCACATCTTGAAAATATATTTAAGACCCCAAGATTAATAATAATACAATTATTTGGACTCCAAGATCACCAAAGAAAGAAGTACTAAATAAAAAATAAAGGGGGGGTCATCTTTTGTATTTACTCTTGATTATTAAGAATAAATAATTTGCATAGTTTACAAAAAAACTATATGGCACTTGGAAAATAAATTGGTTACAACAAATGAAAACACATATTTAGAAAGAAACATGAAAAAAAATAGTTTAGGAAACTATTTGATAATTGTTGTCTTGCCGTCTTCAATACTAAAGTGAAATGTAAAACTGAAAAAGGATGTTTCACCGATTGTTTTCACAAAAGGATGTGGCTTAGAAAGAACAACTTGTACTCTAGATTATCTAGCGTTATCTGGCAATTACGTATTTTTATTACTCTTTGGTAATGCATACTGTGCAAAAGAAAAACAGTGATTTGATACCCAGAACGCAGGTAGATTCATACTCGATTGTATGAATTTTAAATTTAAATCAAGAAGAGACCAAAACAAGGGAAGGATGTCTTAAAGTAATGCAAAAAACAGCTTATATTTAACTTTATAGTTTATCATTGGTTGGTAAACACAACTGTCTCTCCAGAAGTGTTCTACATCTGTGATTCTAGTAGTCCTAATAACTACTGATAGGAGTAGTTCACTTTTAAAAAAACTTTTGCTGATAATTTACTCACCCCCATGTCATCCAAGATGTCCATGTCTTTCTTTTTTCAGTCGAAAAGAAATTAAGGTTTTTGATGAAAACATTTCAGGATTTTTCTCCATATAATGGACTTCATTGGGAACCAAACGGTTCAAGGTCCAAAAGACAGTTTCACTGCAAACTGTTCAAAGGGCTTTAAACGATTCCAGACGATGAATAAGGGTCTTATCAAGTGAAACGATCGCTCATTTAAAAAACAACAAAGTTTAAGTTTTATAAGCTCAAATGGTCGCCTTGCTGCGTTCATGACTCTCCTATTCAAATCTTTTCCCGAGTCAACTCGTTCATTTCGTTCGTTGAATGAACCAAATGACACGAAAAAAGATTTGTTCATTTTGATAAGCGAGTTTGAACAGGAAAATCACAAACCCGCATCACAGAACAGAGCAAGGCGACCATTTGAGCTTATGAAACTTAAACTTGAGCTTTTAAATGAGCGATCGTTTCGCTTGATAAGACCCTTATTCATCGTCTGGAATGGTTTAAAAGCCCTTTGAACAGTTTACAGTTTGCACTGAAACTGTCTTTTGGACCATGAACCATTTGGTTCCCAATGAAGTCCATTATATGGAGAAAAATCCTGGAATGTTTTCATCAAAAACCTTAATTTCTTTTCGACTGAAGAAAGAAAGACATGGACATCTTGGATGACATGGAGGCAAGTAAATTATCAGCAAAAGTTTTTTTTAAAGTGAACTACTCCTTTAAGAATCAAATACACCGCACAATAAACAGATCCCACTGGAATGTAGACCTGGATCTTCTCTTACTTCAAATGGATAGTTCACCCAGAAATGAAAACTTTCTTATTATTTACTCACTCTCACATTGTTCAAAACCTGTATGACTTTCTGTTCGTCTGTGAAACGAGACATTTTGAACTGTTCATATAATGGAAGTCAATGGGGTTTGAAACAACCAAGTTTTTTCATTTTTTTTGTGTTCAACAGAAGAAAGAAATTCAGTCAAATAGGTTTGGATAGACTTTCTCTTTAAACATTATTACTAATCACGAGGAGCTCAACCTCAGTCTTTCAGACTAAACTTCAAATATAGAACAGAAGATATGCATTCTTGCGTCCTTTTTTGCATGAGCATGGCATAATAAAGAAAAAGTGAGAAATTCATGCTCACAGTTGCCTAAAGTGCAAGATGGTCTCCTCTTTCATTACAAGCAGCAGACCAACTCACTGCAAGGAGAGGTCACACTTTGTTCTGAACAAGCTCTGCATGCTTGTATGCAAGGGTTTAACTGGGTGCAGAAAGGCCTTTGGGTAATTTAAGAATTCCTAAAGTGCAAAAACTCACGACGTTCATCAAAGTTTCATTCTCAAATTCTTGGGTCTCCTGCCGCCCACTGGGTGAGCTTGTTTCACTACAGACCCTGCATTGGATCCCAGTGGTTTTTTGATGGGAAGAGGGGCCGATACCTCCATGCTGCTGTTATTGTCCATCTGCTCCACATTAGACACCTCCATGGGCGGATCAGAGCGCGGCGGGAGAGACGACGTGTTTCTGCTCACTTCTGGGAAGGGTGGACCTCGAGACCAACGGTCTTCCCCATCAACCTTCACAGGGCTGGAAAAAGCAAGTATAGGATCATGAGTTACTGATCTCTGTTCTTGCAAAGTTTCAAACACATAACCAGCATACACACGACCAGATAACATGTTCCAGCATGCACAACCTTAGATTTGGTTCTCATTTTTGGTCAGCAAATTACACTTAAAACTCAGATAAATTAAATCAATACCCTTTCCTACAAGATCTTTTTTTTTTACTTAAGAACACTGATGGATTCAGACGGTTAATTCAATAAAAGGATTTGTCATACTGATTCAAATGGTCATTTAATCTCTGAGTTTATTTTGAACAATTCCTTTAAAATATGGTTTGGACAAGTTGCATTATAAGTTTTAGATAAACTAAAAAGAATATTTTCAGAAGAGTAATGTTTGTGAATCGAAACATTTAGGTTCACTAAAGGGTTAGTTCACCCAAAAATGAAAATTCTGTCAGTAATGACTCACTCTCATGTTGTTCCAACCCTTCGTTCATCTTCGGAACACAAATTAAAATATTTTTGATTAAATCTGAGAGCTGGATCACTCCTCCATAGGCTTCTTAAGGGATTGAAACTTGTTCCCCGAAAAGTTTTTAAAGACATTGTTAAAATAGTCCAAGTGACTACAGTGGCTCAATCCTAAATTTATCAAGCGACGAGAATACTTTTTGTGTGCAAACCCCCCCCAAAATAAGACTTTATTCAACTATTAAAGGAGTAGTTCACTTTTGAAACAAACTTTTGCTGATAATTTACTCACCCCCATGTCATCCAAGATGTCCATGTCTTTCTTTCTTCAGTTGAAAAGAAATTAAAGTTTTTGATGAAAACATTCCAGGATTTTTCTCCATATAATGGACTTAAACTGGTAACCAAACGGTTCAAGGTCCAAAAGACAGTTTCACTGCAGCTTCAAATGGTTTTAAACGATTCCAGACGATGAAAAAGGGTCTTATCAAGCGAAACGATCGCTCATTTAAAAAAAAATAACAAAGTTTAAGTTTTATAAGCTCAAACAGTCGCCTTGCTCTTTTCTGTGTGACTCTCCTATTTGAACTCATTCATCAAAATGATCAATTCAATTCATATTGAATTGAAAAGTCAATTCGTTCCTTTCGTTCATTGAATGAACCAAATGACTCGAAAAAAGATTTGTTTATTTTGATAAACGAGTTTGAACAGGAGAGTCACGAACGCACATCACAGAACAGAGCAAGGCGATCATTTGAGCTAATAAAACTTAAACTTTATTTTTTTTTAAATGAGCGATGGTTTCGCTTGATAAGACCCTTATTCATCGTCTGAAATCGTTTAAAGCCCTTTGAACAGTTTGCACTGAAACTGTCTTTTGGACCTTGAACCGTTTGGTTCCCATTGAAGTCCATTATATGGAGAAAAATCCTGGAATGTTTTCATCAAAAACCTTGATTGCTTTTCGACTGAAGAAAGAAAGACATGGACATCTTGGATGACATGGGGGTGAGTAAATTATCAGCAAACGTTTTTTAAAAAGTGAACTAATCCTTTAATTTTTTCTCTGTGGGCATCGCTTGATAAACTTACGATTGAGCCACTGTAGTCATTATTTTAACAATGTCTTTAATAACTTTTTGGGGCCGGCAAGTTTCAATCCCTTAAGAAGCCAATGGAGGAATGATCCAGCTCTCAGATTTAATAAAAATATCTTAATTTGTGTTCCGAAGATGAATGAAGGTCTTACGGGGTTGGAACAACATGAGTAATTACTGAAAGAATTTTCATTTTTGGGTGATCTATCCCTTTAAAAGGACCAGGTCACAAGAGTCATCCGTCTGTGAATTAGACCACAACGGTCATGCGGTTTGTTTTAGATTCACTAATTCAATTTGTTTGTTGTCATTGTTTTGCAAAACATGCCATTTTTATCTTTTCAAAATCATTTGAGAAGGAAAATAGCATGAAAACTAGCATGTGAAAGATCAATTAAAAATCCGTCAAATAAAGAAGTCAAATAATTGAATTTTCTCACACAGCCCTACAAGATCATGAAAACAAGACACTGTTTAAACCTCGGTGGAATGAGAAAAACACATTACCTCAGTGGTGTTCTAGGGCTTCCCAGAAGCTTGCGAGGCGAACGGGATTTTGGCTCAAAAGTGAACTTTTCCTTGATGTTTTCGAGCACAGATGGAGCTATATACGTAAAGCCCTGAGGAGAGACAACATCCGAGAAAAGATTAAATAGTTTGGGTAGACAAAAAAAATAGATGAGTGTAGAGGATGTGCAATTATGATGAGGCAAAAACACACTAACAGCTGGAAAAAAACTGTTAAACAGTAATAATACAGACCAGATGAGAGACATTATTCCCTTCTCGTAAGTTTGTCTACAAAAATAACCAATTTACCACACACACACACACTCACAAATGTAGGTCGGAGTCAGAAATTAGTCTCATATGCATTCTCGAGTGCTTAACACAGCATGCTGATGGTAATTCAATTCAAAGGGCGTATAAACAAATTTCGAGGCTTCCGTTGGTCTCGTGTTATTTTTGGGCTATGGTCACGTACAACAAGGCCTTAGTGCTGAGTCATACCATTCTGTTTGTCTGAAGAACATCTTTATGTTTAATGATAAAAAAAATCTGTTTAGTATTTTACAACCCATGTAGCCATGTAGCTCATGCGACAATGTGATGAATGAATCTTTTACAACGCATGTTTTTTTTATACTTGTGTCATATAACAATATTAGTGAATGTATCTACACTACTGTTCAGTAAGGCTGGTAACACTTTACTTGAAGGGGTGTGCATAAGACTAACATGACACCTTCATAATCATGACATGACATTTTATGAATATGAAGGAAGTTTTATGCATGTTTGTGACAACTGTCATTAAGTGTCTTTCGCTCAGTTATGACATATTTAAAGCAAATATGACATTGTTTGAGATGTCTTTGACATAAACCAGAACATCATAATATACATATACATTTAAAAGAGTTTAGAAAGCCCCCCCAAAAAAAACACAAACTGACCAGGAAGACTTGGTTGGCGCTTTCACTGAGCGTCGAGTCATCGGGACTGTCCACAGGAGGCTGACTAGTGAACTTTGAGTCAAACTGACTAACATCGTCTGCTGATTGCTGCAGAGAGAGAGAGAGATCCATGATGAGTTATTATAGGATGCTTCATAATGAGATCTATAATACTGATAATAACTAGAAATACACAACAGTTTGATTGTACAGAGAGAGAGGACACTCATACCAAAAAAGGCTTGAAGGGAGGTTCAACTTTACAAGCCAGCAGATCATCCCAGTTTACGTGTCTGAAGAAGGAGTGGGTCTAAAAAATACAATCTCTTTTTATAATCTACAGAACTCCACTATATATGTATGTGTCATTTCCTGCTTTTATGATAATGTGTTCACCACATCAGAAGGGCAAATACCTGGATGTCTACAACATCTCGAGGACCAGCTCCTATCCTCACTGATGCGTTTCTCTTCAGCAGCTGGGTGCGAAACAAACACACAATTGAGCAATAAGACCGAATTCCACACTGCAGTGAAAGCTAAGTGACCTTATACCTCTACCTTTTTCAGAAGGTCCCGTGCTTCCTGGGTGAGGTAGGGTGGAAGGTTCAGTTTGCACCTTAGGATTTTGTCAATGGTCTTTTTCCGATTCTCTGCGGTGAATGGCGGCTGGAGGTGAGAGGTTCAAAAGGTTAGAGAGGATAAACTTATCTTCACAATAATGATTACTTAGTTTTGAAATTTGTCTGAATGGAAAGAAAGTATGTTCAACATTTAGGAGAAAATCTTCCCAGAAAAGTCGAAGCAAGGAGGAGCAACTCCTGGTTAAACAAACACGTTTAGGTGTCCATTTACTTTTGGCCATGAGGGTTGATCTACATTTGTTTGTATAAGATTACATCTATGTTATTTTGGGGTTCACAGTCAAAACATTATCTATTTGTTAAAGAGGCCATAAACTAGTTCAACAGGATTATTGATAAAATGCTCTGTCAATAGAACACCTCAACAGAGATTAGTCTCATTCGGGTCTATTAATATTAGGGCTGTCAAACGATTAATCACGTTTAAATAAGTTTCTATTTCTATAATATATGTGGGTGCACTGTGTATAATTATTTTGTGTGTATATATGTTTATATATATATATATATAAATTAATACACACACACATGCATGTATATTTAAGAAAAAAATATTATTTATGTATAAAATACTTGTATTTAATATAAATTATATATACATCTATATACAGTATATAAATGAAAATATTTCTTAAATATATACAAGCATGTGTGTGTATTTATATATAAAATAATTATACACAGTGCACCCACATATATTATGTAAACACAAACTTTTATTTTGGATGCAATAAATCGCGATTAATCGTTTGACAGCCCTAATTAATATGTAATAGTAAATGTAAGGTCTGTCTTTATTGGAATTAACTGAAAACTAGAGTTGATGATTTGACAAATACTTATCCAATGTATTTATTCCAGTAGTCTATTTTTAATACATTTGCAAAGTTGTCAGAAATTAGTTTATTGCTTTGTAATTATGGTGTATGGAGTGTAGACTGATGTGAAAAAAGTCATTTAAAGCAGATTAACACAAGCCAGCAACATGAAATGCGAAAAAAGGGGTACGAATACTTTATATAAAAAATACTATATATACTATATATATATATATTAGGGGTGTAACGGTACACAAAAATCACGGTTCGGTACGTACCTCGGTTTTAAAGTCACGGTTCGGTACGTTTTCGATACAGCAAAAAGAAAGAAATGCCAGAGAAATGTCCTATTTGTTTAAAGAACATTTTTTTTTTAAATAAGTGTGAGTTTTCCTAGATCTTGAAATCTTCAGGTTTATAAATAGGGGTCATCTTTGAAGGATGAACAAATAATGTTTTGGTCATCACATTAAAAATAACATTTAAATATATATTTATTTATATAATATTTGAATTTTGAAGTGCTGGAAAAAGATGTGTGAAGTACTTGAAAGCATTTCACCATTCCAGCCAAACTGGTTCCAGTTAGTGTTACTATATTAAATCCATGGTGAATGTTGCTGGTCTGTGGACGTAAAGTACTAGTTCATTCACGGCACAATGTTTCTCCTGGTTTCCATGACAGCGCTGTTTGATCTAATAGAGATCTACGGTTAATAACGGAGAAATGTGAATGCATCTCACTAGATCTCGCAGCGATGTTATTACCTCAGTGGCGAATTCAAATGTTTTCTTTACCGGATCTCTTAGCGCGGTGTGGTAACAGTGTTGCTTGATCGAGATCGGCTCGCGCTGCACAGATGTTGCTGGTCCGAACTGATAAACGATCCGTGAAGCACATAACGAGGAGCGCAGTTTCATTCTGCTTTCATTACGCTTGCCATTTGGATGTTGCGCAACGTTGTGTTGGCCGCGTCAGCACGAATTTTGCCGGCAAGAAAAATGGTCCAAGCAATCGTTCGGTTTGTATGCGTACCGAACCGGAAGCCTCGAACCGAAACGGTTCAATACGAATACATGTACCGTTACACCCCTAATATATATAAATAAGAATATATATATATATACTATCTATATATATATATATATATATATAAATAAATACGAATACTATATATAAAAACAACAATAACTAATTTGTGGAATTAGCTCATTGTGACTAATTTTGCCAGAACGGGTCCATACTGCGTGTAAGTTCACTTCTAACGAGTTGTGGACACTGCGGTACATGTAAAACTGACATTTTGTTAACAAGCTGTTTTATTGATTGATATTCTTTCCATGGTTGAAACACTGATTGAGCAATTATCCCAGATACAAGTATCAGTTCTGTATCTTTCAACATACCTTCTAGCGCTATATACACAGCAATTTGTCACACCTCATCAAAGAGTGTTTTGTGTAAATTTCATAGTAAAATGGACAGAATGTGAAGGATTAAATTTAGTTTATTATCAAAAGTAACAAAACACAGAGCTTATTGCTATTATTGGTGGTAAAAAATTATTAATAGACTACAATTCTGTATTTGTCGAGTACACGTTCATGGAAATTCATGGGACAACCACGTCTACTGTTATACTCATAATTTATATAGCATTTATTGAACAACATAATCTATATTTATCAAATGATATAATCTACAGCTGTTGGACCTATTTTGTTCCCATCTTCATGTGAAACTTTAATAAGAAGCAACATAGCAGAGAAGAGATGTGAGAAGGGGCACTCACAGCTCCTGTTAGCATGTCATACATCAGGGCTCCCAGACTCCACCAGTCCACTGCTCGGTTATGGCCACTTCTCATGAGAATTTCGGGTGCCCTGAAAGAGGGATAGAACAAGAGAAACAAAGACAGAGACAAAGTGAATGAATGAGTGAAGAGAGAAAAGCCCAGCGCACCAATCAACCTTTTTTACTTTGACCTTAACTGACACCAGAGGCCACAAATAAGCCTTCAGAAGGCATGATTGATGGAGGCTCTGGCCTCTATGAACCGGATGGACTTTGAAAGAGGACACATCATGGAAAACATGACCCTATTAGATTTCAAAGTTCAAGTTGTTCCACAACCCAAAGCTTTCTTGATTTTTGAAGCAATTTTGAAACTTAAGGCTGGAATACATTATACACTCGCCGACTTTATAAATGCCTAAAGAAAAAAAAAACCTGCATCATACAATAACTGAAAACAATAACTTTCAAAACATCCCGAACACAATAAACTTGCACAGAAACACAGATGAGCAGGAGAGGACTGCAGCAGTTGATAAAGGAAAATGAGCATTTGGATACTTTCTTGGGGTTGGGGAGGCTCCTCCTTCAGTTTTTTTATGTGCAAAGACGAGCCAAATATTGAGGCTAATGTGTTATGCGTGTTATGTAAATTTACTTTTGTATTAGTATTGTATTTTATTGCAAAACTGGTAAATAGAGGAAAGCTTTGGTTTCAGTACAACGCATCAAAACACTACGATATGTATTCTACAATTGGCTCAAAATATCAAACATGTTTTGATGTCTTCTGACTGGATGGAAACCGTCTGTGTCTGTGCCCATCATGGATGGACGTGACTTCCTGTGAAATCTGTCAACTTCAACTGTCCAAAATTTACAAACTGGCACAAACTTTCGCAAACTACAGTCGACACATAAATCTGCAAATCAGGTCAAGAATCTGAGCAAAAGTCATTTCGTGTATTCCAATCTTAAGATGCAACAGCAGGTTGCTCAGAAATCATTATTATTGTGTTGACCTCACAACCATGAGTATATTAAAATAAAATAAAAAAAAAATCAATATTCAGCAATGAGTTAACTACACTGGTCTTTTACATAAAGAAGTTACAGAAGCATAAAAAATGTTGTTTAAGTGGGTGAAAATGTGAGTTTGTACATACATGTACTCTATGGTTCCACAGAAGGTGTGTGTGACGGTACCGTCGTGGATCGACTCCTTACACAGTCCGAAGTCCGTCAACTTCACATGACCTGAGATGAGAATGAAATGAGCAAATCCATAGGAGTACAGTCTTTATTGAACAGGATGTGGTGCAAGCCTGAGGACTGTATGGGATAAAAAGGACAGAAGTGAGTGTGTTTCGTTACCATTGTAATTGAGCATGATGTTCTCAGGCTTCAGGTCTCTGTAGATGATGCCTTTCTGGTGAAGGTGACCCAAGGCCATGGAAATCTCTGCCAGGTAAAAGCTAAAAGGAGATTTTGTAAATGAAAAAATACATTTATAAATAAAATAAAAAGTTTATGTTACACAAATAGTAAACCCCCCAAATGTATTAGTATTATTTTCTCACAATCATGTTATTTTTTTAAACCTTTACACTGTTATTTTTATATTTAGGGTTTAAAATCCTATATAATTTATAACATTTATAATATATAATGCAAGTACAGGAGCCACAAAGACCACATTTAAGGAACTTTTACGGTGCTTTTTAGAGCACATGTATTGAAAACACCAATGTACATAGGTGTCGATTTTGGTGGGGACAGTGAGTACGCGTCCCCACCAGATTTCGTCATTAGTCATTTTGTACCCACCACTTTTGGAAACATTGATGAATGGATGTACCTAATACAAATAAAACATCTCCAGTTAACTAAAGCTTTAATTTAGTTCGCTCTTAACACCTGTAATATGTCAAATTTCACCATGTGGTGGGTTTTCCCAGATCGCATCACACACACAGACACACATACATACATACATATGAAGAGTTCAGATGCAAAAGCCTCTAAATGCCATTTGAAATTTTCTTCTTTAATGATGATTTCTATCAAACTTGTATTTTTAAGTTCAGTAATTTCACTTAAATAACAATTAATAGGTAATTATCATTGCCATTTAAGTGAAATCACTGATTTTAAATATACAAGCTTGATAAAAATCATCATTCTAGAAGAAAATTTCAAATGGCACTTAGAGGCTTTTGCATCTGAACTCTTCATATATATATATATATATATATATATATACACACACATATACATATATATGTGTGTGTGTGTATGTATTTGTTCTGACAAACAATCAAATCAACATTCAGGCAAGCTGTACAAACTATATCTGTTAAGCCAATGCTTTTTGAAACCTCCCACAGGAGATCAATGTTTATACACAACAGAAGTGTTGCATCCAGATAGCAGACCCATGAACGATCTACAGCTCTCAACATTTGAAGTGGATCAAAAAAAGTTAATCAAAGTTGCCCTAAGACAAGAACAGGTATTGTTCAAAATTCATGTATAGCTTTGAGGGTTTGATCCACTTCAAATGTAGAGTACTGTATAACAAAGCCTCACTCACCAGGCTGTGTCCTCCAAGAAGATCCCCTCCCTCTCCAGCTGCATGAACAGCTCTCCACCTGTTAGAGAAAAATGACCTTGATTCAGATACATTCTCCAAAAACATGCATGTTATTTTCCTACTCAAGACAATTTTTCTAATATAAATATTTATAACACCAGTAGCAATGTTTAACTCACCGCTAAGGTACTCCAGGATGAGGTAAAGTTTGCCCCCCGTTTGAAAGGCATATATGAGATCCACAATGAAGGGATGCTTAACTTCCTCTAGGATGCTCCTTTCTGCTTTGGTATGAGCAGTGTCCTTTGCATTGCGTGCAATCATGGCCTGTTAAACCAGACAAAAGCAAAATAATCCATCAAGGATAGTGGTGTTTTTAAACAGTCAAAACCCGCAGCACACTTAAGCACTGTGCATGAACGTCTTGGCGCTGGAGGGTTCAGGGTCGCAACTCCCCTAATCCCAGCTGTGAACTCATCAGGCTGGTGTCATTAATGCTTTTACTGCTTTTTGCAATAAACAAATGTGTGCAAATCTAATTTGGGAATGGAATCCAAAGCATTTCAATCATGCAAACCACAGAGAACAATGCAGCATCAGTCTCGGAAAGATTAAACTGCGCCCATGGCCTTGGTACACAGACACCGTTTGCTCTTCTTCCATCCTAGAATGGTTTCAAGCAATGTTTCTCAACCGGTGGGTCACAGAGTGTGTAATAAAAGAAACAACAGCATCCAAATGTAATTCTTTGTTCTGATGCAAGACTTATTTTAAAAGATGTGCATGAAAGCTGTTGACTCTTCTGTCAGACGCAGTGTAAGTGAGAAAAAAAAAGCACTGTCCTGATTCAATATTAGCTGTCAGATGCGATGTTGTCAGGCTGTATGTCATTGTTCTAACATTATAGAAAAACAAACTTGCTTGTCCTGTCAGATGTTACACTGGGTTAGTGACACACACTCTTCAATTGCTGACATTTAACAGCCTAACTTTATAATACGGTTTACTCATCACTGTTAGGTCACCCTCAAGGGCATCCAAGATGCAGGTGTCTTTGTTTCCGCAGTAGTTTTAGGTCAAACCGTTCGTGTCTGTCAGTCATATAATGGTGGCCTATGGTCACCACCTCAAAGAGAAGTGGTTATGTGTCTTAGGCCATCAGTGTGTACTGACATTATGAGTCATTAAATCATATTTAATTTGGACTTCTCTGTGCATGCTCTTTGAGGTGGTGACCATAGACCTCCATTATATGACTGATAGACACGAACGGTTTGACCTAAAAATGTCAAAATTGAAAATACCGTGGAAACAAAGACACCTACATTTTGGATGCCCTTGAGGTAAGATAAAACATATCAAAAATTAATTTCAAAGTGAACAATCCCTTTAATTACCATATAGAACAATTATCTATCTATCTATCTATCTATCTATCTATCTATTCTTGTATAATTCAACTGGTTGAGGTTGATATGGGATTTAGAAAGTAATCAGTAATGCAATAATTTGATACTTTTTAGAGAGAGAAATTAGTAATTATTTTAATTATTTGTAATTATTTTAATTATTATTTTAAGAGGACACCCATGCTGATTTTCAGGGAAAGGTAAATTAATGGGAATTATTGGGAAATATGCGAGGCCATACCTTTTTCAATACTTTCATGGCAAATATCTTCCCAGGAGTTGCCCCAGATACCTTGCGAACTTGAAAAACCTGTTTTGAAACAAGAGGACAGTTAACAGACAAACTTCAAAAGTCTAGTTAGATCTGCAATCAAAATCTGCAAACAAAAACAGCATTAAAGACCTCAGTGCTTATGTAGACTAGGACTATCATTCAAAGTTTAGGGGCAGTATGATTTGTTTTTAAAGAAATTCAATCAACCAATCAACTTTTATTTATATAGCACAATAAAAGCAACAGTAGTTGGCCATTAAGCAATTTCTAAAACACAAGACCGATCGCAAAAATGATAAAGGGAGTTTATCAAATGATCAGAGCGATAGTTTGGAGCTAATCCGTTCATGGCTTTAAAAAACAAAAAGCAGAATTTTAAAATCAATTCTGTAACAAACTGGTAGCAAGTGCAATGGGGAAACTTCCTTGTGCCAATCAATTACAATAGTCAAGTCTATTGATACTGAAATTTATACTTTTATTCAGCAAAAGTGCATTAAATTGATCAAAAGTGACAGTAAAGTCAATTAATAATGTTACAAAAAGTTATTTCAAAAATACTTTTTTAAACCTTTCTAATGGATCATGGTTTCAAAAAAAAAAAAAAAAAAGCCCGGTCCTTCAGATTTGCCTTATACAACATTTGGAAGATCATGTCCTTTCTATCGGAGCATGCATGCAACACAAATCCTTGTCCAAGCTCTTGTTCTATGTAATGCTCTCTCGGCAGGCTTTCCAGCATATACTGTCAAACCTCTGCAACCCATCCAGAATGCAGCCGCAAGAATGGTCTTTAACAAGCCGAAGCATGTCGCTTTCATCAATTAGCAACTGCTTGCCAATAGCCGCTCGCAAATTCAAGGCACTGATGTTTGCCTACAGGATGACCTCTGCACCCCCAAACCTAAACTCACTACTTCAGACCTATGTGCCCTCCAGAATCTTGCGTTCTGCAAGCGAACGGCACCTTGTGGTGGCATTCAAAGAGCCACAAAATCACTTGTTGAGTAGCTGAGTCTTCAGTCACTTTCAAGAAACAGTTAATAGTGATGTTTGATTCTTGAACAAATCGCTAAGAGAAAAACAAGAATATTTTCAAAAAATCCTACTGACCCCAAACATTTGAAGGGTAGAGTGTGTTATTTTGCACCACACATAATGTGTCCAAAACAAACCACAAGCAGGGAGGAAACACTGCTACTCTTGCTTACCTTTCCATATCCTCCTTTACCCAAAACACGAAGCAACTCAAAACATTCCGGACGAATCTGCTCCGTGCCTTGATTCACAGTATTTTCAGAGATCTCAAACTTCTCGCAGTCTTCCATACTAAAATATAAAGTAGAAGTACATTCAAATATAAACATGCAATAGACTTTGAGAAGCTAACTTCAAAATACACAAATATAATTTTGTGCATCCAAAAGTGGCATACTCACAATTCAAAGCCACTGCATCCATGATCCATGTATTCATTAATCTTGGCCTGTGAAAAAAAAAACAAAAAAAAAATTGTTGTTTCTGGTAGGTTTACAGGGAGTTTTAGGTGTGGACTGCAGTTTTTGCATCTCTGCAGCTTTTTCTCCAATTGCCAAGTGTGCATATCTGACAAGACCATTAAAGCTCAGTCTATACCAATGACTGATGCGCACTGGCTCTCCTCCATCAACCGGACTATCAAGGTCACTGATCGCTATTATCACATTACAGGACCCAGTCTAACAATAGAGAGAGTGTCAGGCCACTGTAAGCCATACCTAAAAGGATTTTTTCAGGTTTCAGAGGTAATTCAGGTGCAAAGTCAGTTTAAAAGTCATGACAAAGAACTTGTCGAACTTTTGAACAATAAGATTTCAGTGAAACATAAACTAACTACCTCTTAAGTTCTTTAAAAGTTCATATTTCTCATATTAATTTTGATTCGTCTGTCTAGTCACAAAGGTTTGACAGCCCATTAAACAGTCACCTTCATACACCTGAAGTGATGCTGCTGGGTATCCAACAATCCGGTTTAAGCAGGTAGCTGTGTTTCTAGCTGGTCTGAGTCAGGCATTAACTGGTTGACCTTCTAAAAAATCAACTGGAATATCTTCAGTTTGACCAACTGACTGGTTATAACCAGCTTGAACCAACTAATGACCAGCTTAGACCAACAAGAGACCATCTTAAGCTATATCTCATTAAAACAGACATGTCCACCATAACAAAAAACATGATTAATTACAATTACACATACACACACGCATGGACACCATGGTAACTTACTGCAAATTTGTCGTTTGTAAAAAGAAAACCGAACCTAAATCCCAGATAATTCAGTAGTATGGTAAATATTACACTTACAGTACCATTGTTGTCATTTAAGTTAATAGTTTAACGTACATAGAATAGTCAAAGTACTTTTATGCCGAGTTTTTGAAAAGCTTATCGATTTTTTTGGCCGATCCAGCCCAGGCGATGCGGAAAATCTGGAACCGAGCTTGTTACCGGTTACATACCCCGTCAGGGAGCTCCTCATCTGACACGCTGTCCTCCGCCGGGTCCAGGTCGATATCAAACACACCAGCCATGATAACAGTTTATTCACAAGCACCAATACTGAAATAATGTTAAATCCTGACGCCTCATGTTCCCACACGACTTACAGACGCCATAACCGGGTCCAGTCATTACGCAACATATCCTAACAGAGATTAACTAGCTGTAACGTTAAACGATCACGGCTAACAGCGAATTTCACTTAGCGTATGTGCGTAACGTATGTTCCTGAATGTGTAAAACCAAATGCCAATATATTAATTAGCGTGTATATTCATTTAAACACGCGAATGTCTTTTATTTTACACCCGTCGTTTGGTATCTGTGTTAAGTGGGTGTATAGATAGAAATACACGTCACTCCCTGTGTATATAGGAAGCAGTTTTACTTGTAGTACCGCTTCACTGCCAGTAGGTGTCGACAAAAGACTGGCAATGTGTTTGGACTTTGAGATCAGTGGTATGTGGAAGAAAAATTCAATCCTTTTGCCACTACTGGATTATTTGTGACCGTGAAGGGTAATTCTGTTGAATGGGGGGTAATTCTTTTCAAACCTTTTATCCTATTCTTTACTTTAAAATGTTCAAAAGTCAGCAAGCTTGCCAAAAGGCATGTTCAGAAGAAAGATACGAGCTCACACAATATACATTGTTACAAAGTGCTGGGTAGCCACAATTCTCTGTTCCCTACTTTATAAAACCAAATGAATGGATCACAATGGGCACTTTGTGTCACGTATGCTTCAAGCAAAAAAAAAAAAAAAAAAATCACTATGCAAATTACAGGGACTTTCCAAAGTTACATTTTCTTTTCTTTTCTTTTTTTAAGAGGCATAACTCATTCTTTACAAGACCTGACACAATGGTGATTCTGATAACTACAATCAAGCTATTTTAAGCTGTATTGTTCGTTTTAAAAACAGGCCTCCTATTGTAGATTGTAGACAGATTGTACTGTTTCCCCAAAAAATGTGGCAATTTAGAATGAGAGATATGAAGAAAACTCTTAATTTTTCTGCTAGTTTTAATTATACATGCCTGTGGGTTTCTGTGACATGTGCAGATACGCAAAGCTCATGCATATGTGAGAGTTTTCCTGGGTAAAGATACCTAGTATCTGCGTCAGCCTGACTCAACCTGGGTGTGCCAGTGTTCTCCTGTTCGGTGACAGCACATCATTGATTCATGTGACAGTTAAATCCCCTGATTCACCTCGACATCAGACTTTTAGTTATGAATACACTTGTATTTGACACCTGTGATGGTTTTTTCTTCACCCAGAATCTTCCAAAATGTGTCATATGACCATAACATGTAGCTTCTTGTCACAAAACACAATAAAGTGTGAGAACACTACTGCTAAAATGCAAATGTTTTATATTATTTATTTATAATGTTTTTAATGTGTCCATTTTATATAGGAAAATGTTGTAAATGTATTTTTTTTTAAATGTTCGCGTGTGTCCCCTACTGGATTCTAGAGGTAGTGCACACTATTCGTGCACGTTTGGAAATCGAATGAATCCCTCAAAAGTGTGGTGTTGGTCACATGCCAAACAAGAACACCTTATTGTGCAACCACAAAAGAGTGGTGGTGAGAAGGAGGAGGGTTGTAAAAACTACAACTGAACATGTTAAGCCTTATTTGAATATTAAAACCTGTTTGAATTAGTGATTTGCATAATGGCGAACCCTCAAGCAAAGGCCGTAACTGTAAGCTAGTTCGCGTGACTGAGATAAATCACTGAAGAAAGAGTGACTTAACTAGCTCACTCTGACACATAATGTAAATGTAAATATGATAGTTTACAGTAGGCTACATTTTCTGAGCTATTTTTCATTGATGCTTATTAGCGCATAAGGGAATGACATTTGTTTCCACTTATTTGCTCTTTTCTTTATGTTGTTGATCTTTATTTTCAGTCACGTATAAACCCGAGTATTTTTTTTATTATTGTTTAACTGATTTGAATTGAATTAAAAAAATGTATGTTGTATTGCTGTGCATTACAAAAACTTCGATGTGTGAACAATACATAATAAAGCTCAAATAACAAAAATAGGCCATTGTAAAAACAATATTGTTGGTTTAACTTAAAGAAATAAGTAACCTGGTTACCTTAAAAAATTAAGTTCATTGAAATAGAAAATTTGAGTTAATACAATAAATGAGATTGATTTAATCATCAGAAACTCAAAATATTATGTTATCTGAACTACATAAATGATCTAAGTTGATTTGACAAAAGGAAAAAATGTTGAAATTACAAATCATGACAATATTTTTTTTTACAGTGAAAACTCATTAACCCAAATCACAAAAACCAGGACACAGACTGACATTTAGTTTATTTAAACTTTATTGATTTACACACAGGACATACACAGTCAAACATGAATGGTAGAGGGGGTTCCCTAAAAAGCACAGGATGTTCTGAACAGTTACAGAGGAAATGATACGACTCGACTGTGAAAGCCAAGTATCACCCTGGGGGGTGGGGATGAACATATTGTTGAATGAACATCTTTTTAATTTAATAACAAATACCAGTTGCACATGTTAGATAACGACTGAACAGTTACATTATAAAGGAAAAAACTGTAGAGCAAGTGCAAATGAACGGGTGGTCAAAAAGATCTGTCATCATAACGGAGTACTAGTAGGCTATGTTGCAATAAGGTGTGTTCTTATGGATTCTCAAGAAATTCAAGTGGACAAAACCAGTGCTGAGCGCGCGCGCACACACACACACACGCCCTTTTACAGAGAAGGGCTACGGAAAGACAGACAAGCACGTACTTCTATAGAACAAGCAAAAACACGTCAATAACGCTCTCTGTAAACACACACATTAGAAATATTTCGATAACATATGACCCACTAAAATTAGACACCATCAGGAAAAAAAAAAACATTTTTCAGTGATGAAAAAAAAAAAAAAAGTTAGGCTATACAAAAAATAAAATAAAAATAAAAAATAATGTTTTCTAGAGGGGATGAAAGAGCCCAAAATGTCAGACAGCCTACAGACTGTTGTCGCCGGGCGAATGTAACAGCCAACACCAGTCTGATAAGCTATCTGACACACTGGGAGAGACTTGTCCACACCAATAAAGACACATGATGAAGAATTAACTCACTTACCAATGATGAGACGAGAGGATGGGGCTCAAAGAGAGGCGTGGTCACTAATTCTAACAATGTAATGATTTAAATCCCGTTATGGAAGAACCGAAAGCTTTTTCCCCTCATTTAGCGGATGTTGTGTGAGATAATCGAAGGCAGCGTCTCCTTTCTGTCTCACCCTGCCTGTGTTTCGAATCATAGCGAGCTGCCTAACAAGACAGCGTTCTGAGGGCATTAAGCTCGAACGTCCGAAAGACTGTCTCGCTGGATTTTGAGACACATCCTCTCTCGCGCGCTACCCTTTTCTCGCTCCTTCTCTACCAACAGTGTTGCCATATCCGCGTATTATAATCCACTTTTCAAAAAGAAGCGTCGAAATTAAAACAGGCAAATGTATCGTCGGTTTATTTCTAGAAAACAAACGCGTGTTTAGGATTTCAACGTTACACGACTGTATTCAACAAATAAAAAATATTTGTGTTATTTTATACAAATGATCACATGGATATATTGTTCTCTGGTTAAATGTACATTTAACCAGAGAACATTTCCATTTGTTTCTTGATTTAGATAACCATTTGTAGGCTATATGTCGAATAGACAATTTAATTAAATCTTTAATTTAGTTAATTAATGCAGTCAGGTTATTTCTGTAATCTAAATTGTTCGATGCTGAGCAGTAAACTCGAGCCATTGAGTTCGCTTGCTTTTCTCACGAGATCTGGCAACACCGCCTCATCCTCTACGCCAGCAGCGCAGTGCATTGAGTTCATCGGAGGGTTCATTTAAGGTAACGGCAAAAGAAACTCCACACTGTTCCATTTTTTATACGCCTGCAGCTTCCAGACGCACATACCAGGGCAGCGTTACAAAAAGGCACCGAAAAAACACTTCACAAGCAATTAAAAGGGAAAAAAAGACGTAAAAATAAGCAATGGACAAGACGTTTGCCTAGCCGCCTGATGTTATGCCACCAGTGCAGTGGTTCTTCATCTGGTGGTCCCTGTGGCCCTCAACACTGAATTTAAGACACACCCAATTCAGGACATAGAGCCTCTAATAGTGAACTGATGAGTTGAATGAGGTGTGTTAGATTAGGGAGACACCCAAAATGTGCGGTTTTGGGAAACCACAACTGCATTAGGTTTAAGCTAGATATCTCCATGTAAATGAAACTATTCAAACTATAAAAGAAGGGAGAGAATTACCTTTCCAACTGCCAGACAATCCATTAGTCAAATCCAATCGAGCATCTCTCACAGCAGCGAGCATCATCCAGTCCTCCAGCGTGACCGGATGCTCTTCTGATGTATAGAAAACGTGCGATAAGAAGCTATACGCGCGAAACGTGGCAGCCACCCACGCACATATGTGCCTGAACACAAACGCGCTTCTTAATCTGATTGAATGCGTTATTGCATCTGGTGGAGTGGCCCTGTAGTGAGTCATGTGGTCACACACGCACACACACACTCCTTCCCCCTCTCCTCTATGGATCTTTGGAAACAAAACAATAACTCTAGACGAAAGGAACATTATGATTCACCAAGCTTTTAGAACACCAGAGGATCTTAGCTCAGAAAAAGTCATGCAATACCAAGAGAGTTGGTTGCAATACTTTACATTCACTTCCTGTTATGCCTTAATTTAACCCATTTTCGAATCTAGTATCAGAAATCCACTATACACTGGAATATGCAGCGATTCAAAGCAAATTTTAAAAATTTAGAGTAATAGACCACAAACAACATAAGCCACGGCGCACCTTAACATCCCCACCAATGGGATCAGATAACCTCTGCAAGACACAGAGCTGAGAACATGAGTCTCTCAGCACAATCCGCCAGCTAACTAAGCACATTAAAAAATACAAATATTAACCCATAACCAAAAAACCTTCAAGAAAAATAATGGGTTTCTTGATTTAGTTTAGCTCTCTGTTGGCTGTTAGATTCCACAAGTTCAAGATGCATCAGATGAGAAACAAATCTTCAGAAACCTGTAAGGAGAGAGAGAGAGACTATACATTAACTCATCAGAAACATCACAGGTTAAGCAATCACTCATCTCCACGTGCATTTCCTTCCAATCTCTCAGTTCCGTTACAACAAGATTTACGTTAGTGACGCACACGGTGGCATCGTCTCTTCCTGCTGGTTGAACAAGCCCACAGCTTTCCTTAAGTAACAGCAGGAGCAAGTTACCAGAAAAAAGGAACATTGTTCCAGAAACATCCGTAATCTCTCATTGTGCAACTTCATCTTTCTTTTTCATTTCCTCCTCCCACACGTTCACACGCATGCACACACGAGCTGGAAATGAGCTTTAGATAGCGAATCGCACACGGGCAGATGAAGGTAAAATAAAAAAAGAAGGTGTAGCTCTTTGTTTCCGTGCGCACTTGTGAGGGACCAGTGGCAGGAATCGAGAGTACAGCCTCAACCCCTCCCTCCTGCTTCCCTTCCGAACGCCCACCCCCCCACCCCACCCCCACCCTCCTCCTTCTTTTACTCCCAGGGGCCCCTCCCGTCTCCGGCTGCGCTGGGTTCAA